TCAGGATGGACCAGTCCCTGGAGAAGGACATCTTGTTTGGTAAGGGGATGGTTGGAGAAAAAGAGGAAGACTCTAATGAGATGGGTTGGCACAGTATCAGCAACAATGGGTTCAAACGTAGCAACAATTAAAAGGTTGTCAGACCTGTAGCGTTTCTTTCTCTTGTGCTTAGGGTCACTATGAATCATTACTGACTCAGTGGCACTTACCGACAATAATCAACCCAGTACGCTGAGAAGGCAAGCTTGTTGCTTGCTATGAAGAATCTTCTGTAATGTTTGGAATTTTGAGCAACTGCATCCATAAGCAAAAGTCCAGTTCATCACAATGTAGCAACTTTTACTTGCTCCCAGTATCAAACATCTCTGTCTTCATCTGGTTGGTCCAGTGAGCCCATGCCATCCAAGCTTGGCTAAATGTGTACCAGCTGACAGCTCTTTTTAAATGCAAAACATACACTCACTTTATAGTTATGTTTAACCCAACATGATCTTGTTGTGTTTTAGCTTAGGCAGACAAAGGATCAACTTTCTTCCAAACAAGGAAAAATACCGGATTGCCTAATGAAACTTCTAAAGCAGATACATGAGTGCAAGTAAGTACTTGCTTTATAATCAAGTTCATGTCGGTGGTAATGATTTACAAACATATCTCTAATGATTGCTGTACTAGGGCCAAACTTTCTAATTCTTTTTCTATAAAATGAGTTGAAGTAAATGATCTCCATCTATGCATAGGAGTTCCTGGGTCGTGCACATCATCAGCTCACTTGGCTGCTAATTGAAAGATTGGAAGTCATAGGTGCCTCAGAATAAAGACCTGGTGATGCTCACAAACATCAGTCATTGAAAACCTTGCCTAGCACAGTTCTTCTCTGACACTCAGCATTGCTGTGAGCCAGAATTGACTTATTGGCAATTGGGTACAGGCTCACTGATGCTCTCTATTCTGTATACTAGAGCCTCAAAGAGTTCATGGGAGAGACGGAATTGGAACATCGTGGAATTTTTCCATAACCTTTTTTATTTTTTTGACTTGTGAATTGACTGGAGATTGTAGAGAAGATACCAGTTTTACATTCAACAATTCATGTTTTGTTTCATTTCATTGATTGCAATCCCCTCCCTGGAATACCACTTATCCCAATTCCTCCCTCGGATTCTTGCTTTCTTCCAGCCTTCTTTTCCAATCCTTTTGACTTTAGTCCTTTTATAAATGTGGTTCCCTTTTGATCCTTAATAATTGACCATTCCATGGTGTGCCTACCCCATTAGTGTTGTCCCTTTTATATACCTTGCTACTACTTGTCTAGGTATATAAAAGGGACAACAACACTAATGAGGTAGGCACACCATGGCATGGTCAAGCTTTGGTAGCGTAGTGGTTACAAATTGGATTGCTAACCTCAAGATCACCAGTTTGAAACTACCAGCTGTTCTGCGGGAGCAAGATGAGGCTTTTTGTTCCCATAAATAATTACAGCCTTGGAAACCCTGTGCGGGGTCCCTATGAGTCGGAACGTACTCCACAGCACTTAACAATAGCCACAACAACAATTACTTGTCTGGAAATTAATCTACAAGATGAATTCCGTGCCATACCTGAAGTATGACTCAGGGTCATAGTGTTGAGTTCCTCCAGTTTCTTTTTGACCACTAAGCCTGGTTTATTTTATTTTAAGTTTTGTTCCACATTTTCTCCTGCTGTATCGAGGACCTTCTAAGGCGATCTCTTTCACAGCTGTTAGTAATGGTAGCCGGGCACCATCATGTTCTTTTGCAGGGCTTTGGATACTGAAATTTATGTGTTCCATTATTCCATTGGAGAAACAGATTTTTTTTTTTTAATGTTTTATTGTGAATTATGTGATAGTTTACATGGGAGAACATCAGTCTTACATTAATTCTATCATGTATCGTCTCATTGCCATGGTTACAATCCCCTCCATGCAATCCTTCGCCCGTACCCCCCCAGGTCGTCAGCACACAGTCCCTCTCCCTCTCTGGATCTAAAGTCTCCAGCTGCTCCATCACTCCACGTCATCATCTCTGCCTCCATTTCAGGCATCACTGCTTTTCTGGGTAGGGTCCCGCTCTCTGCTCTTCTCCCTTGATTGTCCTAGGGACCTCCGCTCCTAGACTGAGAAGTTAATCACTCCCCTCCTTGCTATAAAATGTCTACCTTTACATTTCCAACCCTCACAATCAGTCCTGATAACAATTATTCACTATTGTAGCCATGCCTGAGATAGAGGCAGAGGCGATGACATGGAGTGATGAAGTGGCTGGGGACTTTGGATCCAGAGAAGGGAGAGGGACTGTGTGCTGAAGACTGGGTGTGTGTGTGTGTGTGTGTAAGTGAAGGGGGTGGGTTTCTGGGATATACCCTTTGGTCAGTTGATGATGCATGGAGGGGATTGTAACCATGGCAATGAAACGATATATGATAGAATGAATGTAAAACGAATGTTCTCTCATGTAAACTATCATATAATTCACAATACAACATTTAAAAAAAAAGAGTCCTAATGGTTAAGCACTTGGCTGTTAAAGTGTTAAAGGGACAGAAGTTTGAATTCTCGATTGGCTCTGTGGGAGAAAAGGCCCAGGATTCTGCTCTCATAAAGATGACAGCGTAGGAAAATGTCAGGACAGTTCTCTGTCCTGTAATGCTGATATGAATTGAATCTACTGGATGGCACACAACAACAACAATACACATACGTCTCTGTGTGTGTGTGTGTATATATATATATAAATGTCACACACCCTGCTCTCTGACCATGTATGGAGTAAGTACAAAGGTGCCAAGTTACCAGAAAGATTGCTTAAAACTTCAGCCATCTGCATTACAACATGCTGTTTTCCTGTGTTTTGGAGGAAGGGATATGAAGGAGTGTGGGGTAGGGGACATGGGTGTAAGGTATGCACAGAGATGGCTGCTCATTGTTGAGAATGATTTGTAAATGATGGAGGAATAAAGGGCTGGCATGTCCATACACAATCAACTGAAGTAGAAGTTTGTTAAGGCAGAGTACATTGTTTGAATAGAAATGTATTCTTTCAAACCTTTTTATATAGTCAGTGTCATTTGGTTCTCAAAACGTTCCTGCGAATGACATTGTACTTGGGGATTTCCTCTTATCTAAAAAAATGAAAATAACCATTGAGTCTACTCCAATTCCTGGTAGTGACACGTGTGTCAGAGGAAACCTACTCCCTAGGGTCTTCCATGACTAATTTTAGAACTAAGTCCACGAGGCTTTTCTTCTGAGGCAGCTAAGGATAAACTAGGGTCCTCCAGTGTTTCAGCTTCATGGCCAAGAGCAAGATTCATCTTTGCCACTCTGGAACTCGGCTTAGCCTTTTAGAAGACACGTGTCCCTCAACTTGGCAACTGAACATCCATTAGCACAGAGCCTTCTACAGGGCAGAGGAGATGAATAAGGGAGCTGGGGAAGTGCCTTGCTTTCCTCAACGATTCAGCCTTAATGGATGTGGTGGTGTTGTTAAGTGCTGTCAAATCAATTCCGACCCATAGCGAACCTGCCTAGGGTTTCTAAGGATCAGCTGGTTAGCTTGAACCAGTGACCTTGCAGTTCCTTCAGCTTTGCAGTCTGGTGCATTAACCCACAGCACCACACCAGGACCCCTTAATGGAGACAGCAGATAATTAGCCAACAGGCCAGTGAACCTGGTACCTGGACACATTATAGTGACTATTAAGTATTTTATTACTAAAACGTGGAAGTTGGAAACAGAATTCATGAGCGAATTTCAGATTCCACCTTTTCAGACTGTCGTATTTTACATTTCTCAGAGTGAATAAAGTCTACCAGTTTCAGAGTTTGGTTCTTCGAGAGTTGGGCCACCTTGGGAAGGATATTCAGGCTCTGAAACACATGGAGGACAATGCTCTGGTGAGTTCTGTTTCTTTAGGGTGTTGTCTGTGATGCAAAAGAACCAGTTTCAGGACAGAGTAACTATAAAAAATCAATGTTTGTTTGATTTTAGGAATTTTGGAGGAAACAGTCTACTGATTTGAAATCATTATGTGCTAAACAAGCACTGAGGTATTTTTTCATACTTTTTTTTTTTAAAGAAGTGCCTTAGTTGAAGTATGACACAATGCATTAGCTAACATGTGAATAGTTAATGTTGGTAAAATGTCTTACAAGTAGCTGACCAGTTAAATCTTTTCAAATTGTCTATTTTAGTGGCCCTCCATGAGTTTTAGCATAACTTTTGAATTGTAATCTACAAGTATAAATTTTAATTATTTTTAAGCACTGATTTTAAAAATTAGTTTAGACATTGAAAAAAATTAAGTTTCTGAGTTCATTTTCAGTTGTAAATGAACCTTGTTATTGACAGATAACACAGGTATATCTCAGAGATATTCCAATTCCAGAGATAGTTTATTTACAGACTCTGTTATTCCTCATGGGGCACTGTGGGATCAACCCTGTGAACCACAAGGTTGTCAGTTCAAACCCACCAGCTGCTCCTCAGAAACCCTGTAGAGGTGGTTATGAGTCAGAACAGATTTGACGTCACTTAACAGCCATAAGTGAGACACATCAGCTTTTTTACTTACTGCATAAAAATCCTATTTGTATTTTGCTGTAGTTTATTAAATGTGTAACAGCAACCTTCAATTTGTATCACAAAGAAAAAATAGTATCTGCAAAGTACAATAAAGTGGGATACAATAAGCCGAGATATGCCTGTATACATATATTGTGTGCGTTTGATGCTATGGTGAAGAGTTCATTTATGTGGCCTTTTGCCTAAGGTTCTTTGGAAAATAGGTTGAAAGATTGTTTCTTGGGTTTTCTACCCCTGAGAGTTGTGCCTGTTGTCCGGGTTGATTGACATGTTTTGTACAAGCTGTAAACCACCAGACGGCTTCAGCTTGCTCTATGATTGGCGCACACCTCACAGTGATTAACCACTAGATGATTGCAAATGAGGTGACTCTAAACTATGTAAATGAAGTATCCAGGGTCTACTGAGAGAGGATTGGTCAATGTGAGGACCCTCCCTTAAGGGCCTTGCCTTGAAGTTGACAAGGAGTTTGTGTATTTAAGCATACAGTTCGATGAAGGATTTTCTGAAGGAAGGAAGCAGGAAGCAGCAGAAGGAAGAAAAAAAGAACCAGAGAGAAAAAGAAGAGTCACTAAATCTCCTGAAAGAACTGTAACATGGGTCAAGGGCCTTAGCTCTGAAGGTAAGGGTCTGTCACAGAAGAGACTCAGTGGCAGAGCCAGTGGGAATTGGCCCAGAAGGGTCGCATCAACGAAGCTAGAGATGACAGTTCAGGAAGGGGCCCAGCCGCAGAGCCAGAGCTGACAGGTTTGGAAGAGGCCCAGTGTCAGAACCATCAGTGACAGACCAGGCAATCACAGCAGGCCGCACCAGATAGGGGCCAGAGGGGCTGTGAGCTGCTTGTACCAAATAAGGGAGAATGCCTACGTGCTCCCTGATCATCCTGAGTTGTACCCTTATTGATCTTGATTCTGAGTTGTGCCCTGTTAATCTCTTCAATAAACTACCTAACTGTGAAGTTGAGTTGTGAGTTTTGTGAGATATTCCAATGAGTTGCCAAACCCAGATTGGGGGTGAAGGGAGAGTGGCTGGTGTCAGAAACAGAGTGGAGAGTACTTTGTAGGATGTGGGAGTCTCAGTTGTTATTTGTCCTCTGCCTCATATGAATTTGCATGTTGCTGATTCTTATATTTGAAGTTAATACTATATGTTGTTGTTAAGTGCCTTCTAGTTGGTTCCAACTCGTTTTTGTTAAGTGATATCGAGATGGTTCCGACCCATTGTTGTTGTTAGGTGGCATCAAGTCCACACCAACTCATAGCAACCCTACACACAGCACAACAAAATTCTAACTGGTCCTGGGCTAACCACACTACTGTTGCAACGCTTGAACCCATTGATGCTGCCACTTGGCCAATCCATTTCACTTCTGGGTCTTCCTCTTTTTCCTCTGACCCTCCACCCTACAAAACATGATATCCCTCTCCAGTAACCCGTCCCTCCAGATGCTATGTTTGAAGTATGAGAGACTAAGTCTAGCAACCATGGCCTCCAAGGAGCACTCTGGCTGCACTTCTTCCAACACAGATCTGTTGGTTCTTTTGGCAGCCCTTGGCACTTTAAATATTTTCCTCCAACACCATAACTCAAATGCATCAATTCTATGGTCTTCCTTATTCACTGTCCAGCTTTCTCATGCATATGAGGTTATTGTAAACGTCATCGCTTGGGTCAGGGACATCTTAGTCCTGAAACTTACAACTTTGCTCTTTAACACTTCAAAGAGGTGTTGTTCAGCAGATTTTCCTAATGTAATATGTCGTTTGATTTCTTGACTGCTGTTTCCTTGAGTGTTGATGGTGGATCGAAGCAAAATGAAGTGTTTGACTATGTCAATCTTGTCTCCATTTATCGTTTCGTTTACTGTACACTAAGGAGCAACCCATACCAAAGGCTGTAGTGTTTCATCTTCATTGGTAAGTATTTTAAGTCGTCTAAGCCATCTGCAAGCAAGGTCCTGTCATCTGCATATTATAGGTTGTTAATGAGTCTTCCTCCTATCCTTGTACCATGTCCTTCATGTAATCCATCTTCTCAGATACTTTGCTCAGCATTCAGGTTGAATAAATAAGGTGAAAGCATAGAGGCTTATGTGCAGGATTAGCAGCCTTTTTATTGATGAGGCAGGGTACAATCCATAGGCCTAGGTTGTATCTTGAGTGAATGTCTTCTGAGCTATAAAAGAGATTAAACAAGTAAGCAGTGGTCAAGGAGCCTGAGTCCCACCAAGAAACCAGAGCCAGGAGCAGAGCATGTTTTTTGGACTTGGTGTTCCTGCCTTGTGAATCTCCTAGACTCTGGAAGATTAATGTAAAAAATTATATAGTGCTACATTTTTCTTCACTGTTGTGTTGTACTACATTGTGTGTATGTACCAAAGTTTTTAAAATTCAGTCTTCCATTGGTGGACAATTAGGCTGCCTCTCCATCTTTTTGCTATTGTGAATAGTGCTGCTATGAACATTGGTGTGCAAATATTTATTGGTGTCATGGCTTTCATTTCTTGGAGATCTATACCAAGTAGAGGGATTTCTGGGTCAGATGGTATTGCTATTTCCAACTTTTATAAGACGATGCTGTATCGTTTTCCACAGTGATTACATTATTTTACAGTCCACCAATGTAAAAGGTCTCTCTACACCCTTTACAATATCTGTTGTTTTCTAGGGTTTTTTTTGTACTTTGCTATTAATGCTGGGGTGAGATGATGTCTCATTGTTTTGATTGGCATCTCTAATGGCTAGCATTTTTTAATATGTTTATTGGCTGCCTAAATGTCTTCTTTGGTGTAGTGTCCATTCATATCCTCTGTCCATTTTTAAATTGGAGTATTTGTCTTTTTCTTTTAGAGCTGTTGTCGTTTTCTATACGTTTTAGAAATTAGTCCCTTGTTGGATCTGTCACTGTAAAAAAAAATTTCTCACTCTATGGGCTCTCTTTTTACTCTTTTGGTGAAATCTTTTGATACACACCAGTGTCTCATTTTTAGGAAGTTCCGGTATTTTCATGTTTGATACCATATTAATGCCATGTATGACAGTCCATAAGTTTGTCCATGTGTTTTGTTGATGATCTTTAGAGCTCTTGGGTTTACATTTAGATCTTTAATTCACATCAAGTTTGTTTTTGTATATGGTGAGATATGGCTCTTGTTTCATTTTTCTGTAAATGGATTTCCAGTTTTTCCAGCACCATTTGTTGAAGAGACTATCTCGTTTCCACTTGATGTGTTTTGGTCCTTTGTCAAAGGTCAGCTGACTGTGTGTGTATGGGTTTACTTCTCGGTTCTAAGTTCTGTGATAGTAATCTATGTATCTTTCATTGTTTGGACCACTGTAGCTGTGTTGCAGATTTTGAGATCAGGTAAAAAGAAGCCGCCAACTTTGTACTTCTTAACTAATGATTTGCTTATCCAACGTCTCTTTACCCATAAAGATAGTGATTCAATTTTTCCATCTCTTTACAGAATAATTTAGAAATCTGGATTGGGATTGCATTGTATCTATAGATTGCTGAGATGTTGGGGTGACAAGAAATAGCTTCCTAGAACAGAGGTCCCCTTCACACAGGTCTTGAAGGATGGAGTAGGTTTTTTTCTTTTTTGGGAGGGGTTAGGAAAGATGGGCTAACAAGAATAAAGGTACAATAGCAGGTTTTGTTTGATGCCGTGGACGACTTTGGTGTATTGTTGTTGTTGATGTCAAGTGCTGTGTAATCAGTTCTGACTCATAGGGACCTTGTATAGGGTTTCGAAAGAGTGGCTACTGAGTTTTAACTGCCGATCTTGTAGTTCAAACTGACCTTGCAGTCTAGTTCATTATCCTAAAGCATCATACCAGGAAAATAAATGTGGCTAGTCCTAAAAGGAGCCCTGAGCCCTGAAAGTTCAGGGGGTTTCATGTTCGACTGCTAAGTGAATGGTCAGCAGTTCAAATCCACCAGCTACTCCATGGGAGAAAAATGAGACTTTCTGCTCCCATAAAGTCTTTATAGCCTCAAAGACCCTATACGAGTTTTTATGAGTCAGAATCAACCAGTGGCAGTGGGTTGTGGGTAAAACTGAAGTACCTTTATTGGCTTAAGCCAAACTCCTTTTGTCAAGATGATTCTGAACATGGTAAGCCAACATGTGTCTGTATAGAAATTCTCCATAGGGTTCTCTTGACTGTAATCCTTCTGGAAATAAATCATCCAGCCTTTTCCTCCATGGTGCTATTGGGTAGGTTTGAACTGCCCACCTTTTGGTTAATTGTTGTTAATAGCTGTCGATTCGGTTCCAAGGGTTTTCTCGGAGCTGTTGGATTTGAACCAC